GATAGCGGCCTTGACACCCTGGGTCGGCGCGGGAGCAAGCCGGGGACGCTGGCTTTCATGCTTTATATACGCGCGCAAGGGCTAAGTATATATAGAACTTGTGCACATGTTCATGCACACGACGCAAACACGTATGCATGCACACGCTCATACACGCACACCCACATACACGCACACACATACACACGCACACACTCACATACACACAAATACACTAGAATGCACATACACATACACGCACACATACACATACACACACACGTACACGCACACACACACAAACACAAACTCTTACACACACAAACACAAACACTTACACACACACACACACACACACACACACACACACACACACACACACACACACACACACACACACACACACACACACACATACACACATACACACACTTACACACACACACTTACACACACACACACACACGCACACGCACACGCGCGCCCGCGCGCAAACACATTCAGACAGACATACGCATTGACTCACAAATATACGCAACGATCAAACAAAGACAAAAACCAAGCAAACAGTCACAATCAAACACAAAAAAAAGCAAAAGCACGGGCTCATTACTTCCTTTGCATGAAAAAAGACTCTATCTATACGTGTTTTTATCATCTGAATAAATTATACCACTTAAGATATCTCATTTCTTAATTGCCTTAAAGTGATCTAATGATTTGCAGTCAAAATTAATCGGATATGACCTGTTCTCTATTATCATCACGTCGTTATGGTTAATGTTTTTTATAATTATTAATTGTTATTACTGCTATGAGTATGAATGTTAGTGTTGTTATTGCAGTTATTATTATCATTGTCATCATTTCTATTATTTTCGCTGTTATTATTATTATTATTATTATTATTATTACCATCACCATCATCATCATCATCATAATCATCATTGTTATTATTATTGGTATTATTATTATCGTTTTATTTAATTTTATCATTTTTTATCATTTTTCATTATTATTGTTATTAGCAATATTTTTTTGTTATTATTATTATCATTTGATAAATGTTGTTGTTCTTAATGTTGTCATTATTATATTGTTACAATTAACAGGTATGATTATTATTGTTATGATAATGAAAATGATTGTTTCGTTTTTATAATCACTATTATTATTATGATTATCATTATCATTGTTGTTATCATTATTATTGGTGTTCTTATCATCATCATTATTATTGTTATTGTTGTTGTTATCATCATCATCATCATCATCTCCACCACTCGCCACCATCGTAACCACCACCACCACTACCATCACCACTATCACCACCCCTTCAGCACCACCACTTCACCATCACCAACTCCACCACCACCATAAAACTAATAAAATAAATGATAATAACCAGCACCGCTATTACCGCCATCCTCATCCCCAACATTAATATCATAAACCATCACTCTCATCTCCCTCTGCGTCGTTTCATCGCCTTCAACAAGGAATAACAATTTTTCCAAACTTCTTGATCTCTCGGCTCCTCCTGTCACGAAGGCCAAATGGATGGAAAAACTTGGCTTTCTTGCAGATTGGAGTTCTTGCACGGGGCCTCCTCTCTCTCGGTTTCGATCTCTCTCGGTTTCTCTTTCTCTCTCTTTCTTTCTCTTTCTCTTTCTTTCTTCCTCTCTCTCTCTCGCTCGATTGCTCGCTCGTTCTCTAATTCTATTTCTATTTTCATTTGTACTGTACTTGTTTTCTCTCTCTCTCTCTCTCTCTCTCTCTCTCTCTCTCTCTCTCTCTCTCTCTCTCTCTCTCTCTCTCTCTCTCAGTATGTGTGTGTGTGTGTGTGTGTGTGTGTGTGTGTGTGTGTGTGTGTGTGTGTGTGTGTGTGTGTGTGTGTATTTGCGTGTGTGCGTGCGTGCATGTGCGAGCTTGTCTGCATATTCATTTATAAAGAGAAATCATCAAGGTTTCTAAATTCAGTAATGCGACGAATTCCTCCGGCAAAAGTAGAAAGAATCTTGTACGTGAGTGGCATAAAGTGCGCTTCATTGATTGTCATTGACCTTGAGCGGGGAGTGGATCGTGTTCTTTCGTTGGGTATGCATCCAGTATGCTGCATCTCATCTGCCAGATAAGATCAGTAATCGCTATTTTAGTTTTTCACTTTTTCCTCAGTCCATATCTGATACTACAGGAGATAAATCAGACACACACACACACACTCACTCACTCATACTCACTCACTCACTCACTCACTCATACTCACTCACTCACACACACACACACACACACACACACACACACACACACACACACACACACACACACACACACACACACACACACACACACACACACAAACGCAGTCCATAAATATAGAAATAGAGAAACTCCAGAAAAAAGGGGCATATTAATCAGTGGACTTGTACATGTTTGAGCTGAATACGACAGCCATAAGCTTAAACAACCCCGTGTTCATTTCTTACAAAACATTTGTGAAAAGATACTAAACCACAAAGGCTAAAAACAATGAAATTTTATTATCTTGGTGTTAAACTTTCGCTTTGTATATTGCTGAAGACAACTGCATCCTTCCCTCCTTGATAGAAATATTAATGTCCTTGAGGGTTATTTGTCTACGAATATATTCCTTCCCGAACAAGATCCGCAATAATCTCGACGTGCCTTTCCTCCCTGTCCGCGAAGCCCGAAGCGATATCCGTGCTGCCGAGCATGATGAGGCCCGACACCAAATCGGCCGCCCTGAACTCCGCGTCGAAGTCCTCCCTGCCGTAGCCCAGCGTCCCGAGATCGATGCCGAACTTCGCAAGCCTGGACGTGAGCGCCGTCCAGTAGTCGGAGCGGAGGGCCTGGCCATACTGACGCCTGACGGAGGGCGTGAGTGACGACCAGATCATGAGGGACACGTCGAGAGCCGGGAGTCCGTAGGCAAGCATCTGCCAGTCGACGATGCAGCTGTGCGTTGCGTCGCCGTCGCTCCGGACGAGGAGGTTGTTGCACCAGAAGTCGTAGTGCAGCAGAGTGTTGAGTTTCCCCGAAGGAGTGAGGGCCTCGCGCAGCGCCAGCTTTATGTCCTTCCCATTGAGGAAACGCTGCAGGCCGTCGCGAACCTCCTGCCGGTCCTTACGGGACTCGAAGAAGCCCAGTGTTGTTGGCAGAAGCCTCTCCACCAGGTGGGCGAAACAGGTCACCGCTTGCTCCACCGAGTACAAGAACGGGAACCGCTCCTGGAGGGGTTTCCCTTCCTTCACCTCCAGCGCCAAAGACGCGGCGTGAAAGTTGGCGATGGCCACCAAAGCGGACTTCGCCTGGCCGTAACTCAGGCCCTTGTTGAAATCCTCGACCTCGTAGCCGCGGGGACACATGTTCTCCAGAACCAGCATGGACTCCTTTCCCGCGTCGTACTTGGCGTAGTAGAGCGCGGGGACCCAGGGCACGGCCAAGTCGTCTGCGCTTAGGTGGGCCCTCTCGATGTTCTCCAAGGCGGGCTTCACCTGGAAACATAAACGATTTAGTAATTTCATAGTAGATTCACTGCAGCACAGCTCGTGGGAGAGTGACTGCTGTAAACTGTTGCAAATTGACCGAACAAATTATATCATGACGGCCGTATTTATTTTTATTGTTCGCCGAAAAAAGTTTTTTTTTATATAAGCCGTTAGACATAATATGTAAAGAACCATTAGTTTGCTATTTTTCCGCAAATATTAACCCGGACTGATTAAGGAAACGAGTGTTTACAAAAATAGAAATTACATGATTATTCATATGAGCGACGATAAATATTTTCATAAGGCAATCGCTCTCTAATAAACATGAAATGTAACAAATTCTACACAAAATCTTATCAAACAAAGCCAGTCGCCAACAGCAAACGCGAAATATACAGTAAAACCCTAAATACGAGAAACAGCAAACAGGCCTAGCGACAGCCGCCGGAAACTGTTATGAAGACCAACTCGAAATAAGCATCAGAAAAGTCGGACGAATCAATAACTCTTCAAGATCCGAGACGTTTATTTTGGGCGGGAAGGAAGTCTGAATTGGGCCATTGTCTCCTTTCTTTCGTTCTTTGGGTCAGTCTCTCTCTCTCTTTCTTTTGGGGGGCCACAGTCCTCTCTTTCTTTTTTTTTCTTCTCTCTTGCTTTTCCTTTTCTCTCTCTCTCTCTCTCTCTCTCTCTCTCTCTCTCTCTCTCTCTCTCTCTCTCTCTCTCTCTCTCTCTCTCTCTCTCTCTCTCTCTCTCTCTCTGTCCCTCCCTCCCTCCCCTTCCTCCCCTCCCTCCTTCCCTCCCTCCCTCCTCGGTTTTAATATTCTCGTTTTAAAGGAGAAGAGACGTTTTGCAACTAGCAATTTCGATGTCACGGTAACTTCACGAAATGCTTTTGGGTTCTTAAATTCATTACAGTATTTAAGGTCTTTGTGGAGTTTTAAAAAAAATGGCATATTTCCACTTTACTGACGTTTATGAGCTTTGCGTTTCCACAGCGATAATTACTTTGATTAAATTAATTGCTATTGTAGGTAAACGGGCACGAGAGATTAGAGAGAACATGTGTGATGTAAAATATAAAGTTATGGATCTTAATCATATTTATTTTCATGATGTTTACAAAAAAGTACTCGAGAGAGAGAGAGAGAGAGAGAGAGAGAGAGAGAGAGAGAGAGAGAGAGAGAGAGAGAGAACATGAATGAATACCAGCTTCTGTATAAAACTACCATTCCCGATGTATTTTTCTTCACATTTACCTATAGCATCAATAAGAATGGCTATTTCCAAACCCTTTATTCTCCTTCGACATCATCTCCCTCTCTTCCCTGGCCATTCATTACTCCCTCCTTCCCTCACCCTCTCTTCCTCCCTCCCTCCCTCACCCTCTCTTCCTCCCTCCTTCCCTCATTAGGCACGGTGATTAAAGTTCTCGGTGTAACAGTTGTTGGTCAAGTTATTTTCCCTCTTGTGTGCCGAGTGCTCCGTGGAATGGAAAATGGCTCTTTGGGA